ATCCAGAATGATTCTTCCTGAAGCCGTAGGGGTTTTCAGTCAACCTTTCTGGGTTTAACTCATAGACACCCATCGACCTAAAGTTCTTTTAGTAGGAGGGCGAGTTGCCTAATGGGGTCATCCTCGCACAAGTAACAGCAGCCCGTGGTCTGAGCATGTCGAGGCCTTCAGCCAAGACAAAACTACCCAGTTATAATTTACAAGGCACTGTTTACCGATTCCACCTATGCGAATTGTCTAAGCTAGGGAATGTTAGGTTCTTGGCTCTCTGATTCGTGCTCTGATGGTGCTTGACAGGCTGACAAAGAAAGATTTCCAGGGATGCTTCCAGGCTTGGCAGCGGCGCTGGGATCGTTGTGTTCACTCCCAGGGGAAATTATATACGAGCATGGCACTAATTTATTAAAACCACCGTAAGTACTAGTATACCACAAAGACCTAACCACATTTTCCATTTCGTATATAGAAGATTTGTTACACGTGCCAGTGTATACGTATCAAGTTCGCTCCATGCGTTAATAGTTGGAAAATATTAAAGTTGAACGCAACTGTGACTTCCCGGTTTCCGTCAGGAACTGCTATAAACAGCTAATTTAATTTTATTTCTTTTGTGAAGCGATAATTTACTGATGTCGGGAAAACCTTGTAGCCCTTGACGGTGAGTCATGCAGTTTCAGCCGGGAGCTGGGGAGTGACAGTTACATTTAAATTTATCTGCGAACGCACTATATTACAGAGAATACAGCAAGAAGGGCACACAAGACGTAGCTACGCGGTACGATAACTGCACGAAGTATTCCAATACCACGCAGACTGCAACAGAACACAAATAACATATGAAAACGAGGTTCAGTGCATCACAGTAGTGACATCTACAAATGCGAACTACGAATGACAGTCTACGGGTGATAATTTTAATTCTTTATCAGTGTTATTGACATATTTAAAACTAATAGAACATTATCCATAACTTTTTGAAATGTGCTTGGTGCTTCTGAAAGTCCAAATTCCATAGCGAAAACTTGCAAATGGTGTTACAAATCCAGTTTTGTCTCTATCCTCAATTTTGATAGGAATATTCCAATACGCGTTTTAATATCTATAAGAGTAAAATATTTGCTCCCTGCCATGAGTGACAAGTTATTTTTCATATCCGGAATAGGATAGACAGGCGTTTGAGTCACTGCTTTGAGTGCTCTGAAATCTGTACAAAATCTGTATTTAGGAGATCCATCTGGTGATTTCTTTGGTACCAAGATTACTGGTGCTGCCCATGGCGTAATTACTCCTTTAGTAAGCATTTCATCTAATTGTCTTTTCATTTCATCTTTGAGCGCAAACGGTACTCGGTACGGATTCTTCTTAATTGGTAACGCATCTCCTGTGCGTATCTCATGCCAACCTTTAGTCGTACAGGGTAACTCTCCTGTGTCTTCATCCTTAAATAAATCTCTGTACTCCTCGAGTACTGGGGCTATCGCTTCAAATTCGTCTTTTGTCAAGTGGCTTAGCTTCTTCCCAAATGCATGAATCATATCCTCTTTAAACTTTGACGGTTTCTTACTCACCGTACTTATCTGACTATGGGCCCATGTGGTTACAAATAGGTCATCGTGCAGGATTTCCGTGGTTTCTAACACAATATTCTTCCATTCATGAAGTGACTGTTGGGGGACGAATCGGATCGTCATATTAAATTCAAAATTTATGAACAGTTACGTTGCGGGGGTATTTAAAGCGGGATCGCGTTGGTGCATTCTTCTTGCCCTTCTTGCTCTCGCGCGCGCTCAGAAAGTTTGATTCGTCAAGGCAAGCAGACAGTTTCTGCTTCATTCTTCAAATTGCAAGTATAAGTACAACAGCCGAATCATTACGCTGCCTCCGACCAGAGTAATTGCAGATTCCACTTGTCGCAAATCCCGCTCCAACTATCACAGTCCCCATATAATCCCTGAGAGTCGGAGAATCTTGCTCTCCGACAAATCCTACACCAATTATTCCTTATATCCTTCCACATATCCAAATTTATATCTCGCGCTGTAACTGCACGCTACTGGGTTTGATCCCGGGGCATCCAAAGGAAGAAGACGAGTCGTCTACGAAAGGGCGGTGACACGACGTACGGTGGAAGCATCTATATTAACCCCGTGAGACAATCTCCCTTTTGATGTCTCCACTGGTCTATGATACTAATTCTTCGAATTACACTAACATCTCTAGGGGTGGTTTTCCTTTTTCTATGGGACATGTCCACGGATCCCGTCTCCTTATGCAGCTTCATGATCCGTGAAACGCTGGATTTCCCGACGCCGACTGCTTTTGCTATCTGCCTAGCAGTAAGTGAAGTGTTTTCGCCTAAAGCGATTGATTATTTTAGCTCGTTTACGAGGCGTGATGTCCAAGATGTATTTAATAAAAAAGTTTTCCAATGAAAATTGTGAACTACTTAATCACGTCCTCAGCCTATGAAATATCAATTCCGACTAAAGTGGAAGTGTAAATAATACCAGAGTAACACAACAGACAGATATCGCTCTGCTGCAAGTCTAAACTTGCGCGTGTCCATTGCAGAGCTTGGACTTAGCGTTCCTTCGCTTGTCCCAACTAATTCGCTCAGTACTGTAGACTGAAAGGTTGCTGGGGCCGTCTTTAACCCGAAAGGTAGTCTCTTGTAGGCCCAGTGACCTTGCGGTTTTTTCTCTGTCTTCTTCCCGGAGCTCGATCTGGTGGTGTCCCATTACCATGTCCATGCACGAAAAATACTTGGACTGTCCTAATTGATCCGATATCTCGGATGTTTCAGAAAGTGGGTGTGCATTTCCCACCGTTTTCTCATTCTGACGCCGGCCTCCGGGTTTTCTCTCCACTCGCGTCTAACTTCTTTGGTCCTATCAAAAGTGGACTGTTCCTTCTTCTACCAATCTAGTCACTTGTCTTTCTACCTCCGCCTTTTGGGATTCTGGTAGCCTCTGCGGTTTTGTGTTTTAACGCGTTAAATTCTTTATGAAGTTCTTTTTTTGTATTATTTTCCATTTCGGAAATGAGATTCTGCTTGGAAGCCGTGATTGGTTTGTGACTTTGAGTTTTAATTGTTTGTGATCACGACGATCTGATTGTTAAGTTTTCCCGTGCCTTGTAATATGGTATCTATTGGTTCCTTATCAGGACACAGGATAGTGATGGTATCCTTAGAAGGAATAACATATTTAGATCGGGTAAATTTCCTGGCCACTCCAATACCTTAAAATGTTGCTGGGTAAAAAGCTCTTAGCAAGCTTAGAATTGTGGCATGGAGCCAGATCCTGTTGAAATACCCCATCGCCGTTAGGAAACAGCTTCCGTTGTGTATTTAATTGTCCGTTTTCCTCAATAATGTGTTTTTTATCTCTGACAGTCCCCTTGCAGGAACGAAAACTATCTGCTCCTTTGAAAGCTCTAAAAGTTAACTTGTTCCAGCTCTGAGTAATATTTTCCATCCTGTTCGTCCAACGTTCCGAACAATGTATGCGATATTGTCCCTGTGATCCAAATAAGCTTCTCTTAAAACGGTCTGAATTCGAAGCTCGTTGGGTCAGTTCTGATAACGTAACTTTCACAGACTCAATCTGAAGTAGATTTCTATGTACATGCTTGATCGTGGACCTGTATTTTGTTAAATTCTCCCAATCTTAACGTTCGTGTGTTTGACGAAACTCTTTAGTGAACTCGGCTTCTTTTCTAACGGTTTCGAAATTTTCATCAGCACGAGCTAAATCCACGTCACTAGACAGTCACAATACATATCATTGATTGACAACACGCATGGACGTGCACATCACATAGTTTATTTGTGTTTGTACACACTCGCGTTTCTGGTTTTCTCATCGTCAATCTCGATCTGTTTTTCATTAAATTTCATAATTTTTTTTTCTTGTCTCGTCTGTCCAGTCTCTTTCGCCTAAGGGCCTCTTGCCATAAGATATTTTTTGGCATCGCGAAGTATGTATTGTCACCTTTAATCTCCTTCACTATGCATTTTTTCTTTAAAAAGTCTGTGAGATTCTTCCACTGCGTATAAATTATATGTACATGATCACGCTGCCGTCTATAACCCTCGTTCACATGATCTTATCGAGCATAGCCTGTGTAATCCATGCCTTCCTTGGTATCCTTTTCATCCTACCAACCTTTTCTTCTAGTGCCACTGTTAGGCACTTCTTGACATTCCTCCATTCCTCTTCAACGCTTTCGCCTTCACTTTCACTTAATTTTCCTTCCAATTCTGCTCTTACTTCGTCTCGCGCGCTCTCCAGGTCCCATCTCTTCTTCATCACCCCCCTACTCCTGATTTTCTTCATTCTGGGGCTGACGTTTGCAACTAACTGAGTCGATGTCCGCTGATGGCACTGTCGTCACATCCTTTACGCTATTCCTAAATCGTTGCTTCACTAAGATATAGTCTATCTGGTATCTGCTCCTGTCTCCTGTGATGCTTCTTGAACCATTTCTTCGGCAGAAGTCAACCATCATGTCCCCTCTCCTATTCCTTATTCCCAGTCCATGATGGCTGACAATGTTGTTTTCTGCTCCTTTCCCCACGACACTGTTCCAGTCTCCCATTTTTATGGTTTGCACTTTCCCTCTTCCTTCTGTCTTCTCATATATTATTTCCACTTCTTCATCGTCATGATCCGATGTTGCATTATCAGAATATCCACTGGTTCTGCATTCAACTTGATATACATCAGTCTGTCACTACACGCTTGCACTTTGATTATACTTTTCTTGATCCATTTCTGCATCACTATTGCAACACCTCTTTCAGAACTCTCACCTCCCGAGTAGTACATGATAGTTTCCAGACTCGAAATCACCTTGATCCCTCCATCGAACTTCGCTGACACCCACAATGCACACATTATTTTTATCAATTTCGATCTTCAGATTTTCCAGTTTTCCTCCCTGTTGTAGTGTCCTGACGTTCCACGTTCCTATGGTGAATTTCGTAAAAGAATTCTCCTGCCTGATACCTTCTCCCGAGACAGTCCTCGCCCGGAGATCCGAATGGAGGACTAGTTTACCTCCAGATTGTTTTGTCTCTGGAGAAAGCATCATTCATATTGTGATTGCTCCTGTTGGGCAGAAGCTGTCCTGGAAAAAAGTACTGTGGTAGTTTTTCCACATCGCAGGACCACAACCATTAAAGCTGCTCCAGCCTCGAACCGGTCCCGGATCATTTCCTTCACGCTTCAAGCTGGTAATAGTGGTCGCTGCTGCCCTCCACTGTGCTAGTGTTTGTCCGCCCCGGGTATTTCATTTCCCATATCTGGGAAGCATTCCCCTATCCGCAACCTGGGGAGGCGCCCGATGGGGGACTAGCAACCCCCTGAGGGTAAAAAAAAGTACCGAATTAAAAATTAATTATAAGGATAAGTTAGTGCTTTATTGCAAAGACAAAAAATTGCTAAACACACAACAATTTTATTGCATCCTCCTTTACTTTTCATTATGTAATTTACAAATTTGTGTATTGTCCAGTCCATGAACTATTCTTCCTTTGAAAGGACCTGCGGTGACGCCAGAGCCTTGAATCCTGAAACCAGCCA